TCTCTCTCTCTCTCCACCCTCCCCCTGATTGTGCGTGTGCTCTCTCTCTCTCTCTCTAATAAATAAAATAAAAACAATAAAAAAATTTTTAATATGAAATTTCAGTGAGGGAACACAAAATTATCACCAAAAGAGGGGAGTAGTGAATAAAGAACATAAATATACAAAAGGTGATCTAGCTTCAGTTAAGTAAGATCTTTCGCTAGAATTCCAGTAAACTAGAATAAGGAGCATCCCTTGCAAGGTTAACAGCAGAGGCAAGAAATAGAGAATATGCAAATGCGTATCTAGAAGAAGTTGAAATTATAAATATATACCAAAAAGATAGGTTAAAATGGCAGAGTATTTATATACGATGTCATCTCCCTAACTAAACACATCACTCTCAATTCACTGGTTTCACTGCTCCTCAGGAGCTACCAAAAATAAAACTAGAGCAAATGAATGGCCAGCTTCATGTATCTACAAACAAATGAAAGGTTTGCCCTTTTGTGAGCAACAGGTAAAGCTAGAGAGGATCAATGTCCACCAAGTAGGGCAGGAAAACTTCCATGTGGAAAACAGAGACTAGTACAAATGCCGCAATCAGTACATTACATCGGGCACACAATGTGAAGGTTAGAGGGAAAGACTACAGCTCGAGATGTCTGAAACACAGCCTATGAATGAATGCAGGCAGCTGGCAATAAGGAGCCTAACATGTATATCCTGCTCCCTGTACGGAGTTACACATCCTTTCCTCCTAGCCCTGTTGTCCTCTCACTTTCACTTTCTTCACAGAACCTGATTCTCTACAGATGACTGAAAGGTGTGGCCACCAAATGAGATGAGGTACTACTCCACTTTCATCCTCGGTTTCTTTCCCTTTGCTCAGACTCCTGCATTTTTTTTAGTATTTTCCTCTCTGCTCTTCTAGCCTGCATGTTGAATTCAAGATAGCTGAGACTCCACAAAGACAAAAGAAAAAAATGTTTTGACTTCTGCTGTTATCTACATGTAAAATGTACACCCTGCCCACCTTATACTCATTAGGACAGCTAGTATGAAAACAAAACAAAACAAACAAAACCAGGAAATACCAAGTTTTGGCAAGGGTATAAAGAAATCAGAACTGTTATGCACTGTTGGTGGAAATGCAAAATGGCATAGCCACTGGGGAAAACAGTTGGCAGTTCCTCAAAAAATTACAAATAGAATTACCATATGACCCAGCAATTCCACCTCTGGATATATACCCCAAAGAATTGAAAGCAGGGTCTCAAAGAGATATCTGCACCCCTGTGTTCACAGCAACATCATTCACAATAGCTAAAACATGGAAGCAACCCAAGTGTCCAATGACATGAATGGATAAAGCAAGTGTGATATATACACACAATGGAGTATTATTCAGCCTTTAAAAGGAAGGAAATTCTGACATATGCAACATGAACCTTGATGACTTTATGCTAAGCAAAGTAAGTCAGCCAAAAAAAAAGACAAATACCATATGACTCCACTTAGATGAGATACTCAGAGTAGTCAAAATCATAGAAACAGTAGAATGGTGGTTGCCAGAGGCTTGCGGGGGAGGGAGGTTGTTATGGGGAGTTATTGTTTAATGGGTATAGAATTCCAGTTTTACAAGATGAAAAGAGTTACAGATATGGATGGTAATGGATGCACAACATTATAAGTGTATTTAATACCACTGAACTGTATACTTTAAAATGGTTACAATTTTTTTCTTTTTTTAAAGATGTATTTATTTTAGAGAGAGAGAGCATGCGCAAGGGGAGAGGGGCTGAGGGAGAGGTGGAGAGAGAGTCCCAAGCTGACTTCCCACTGAGTGGGAAGCCTGACGTAGGGCTTGATCCCACAACCCTGATATCATGACCCAAGCTGAAACCAAGAGCTGGATACTTAACAGCCTGTGCTACCCAGATGCCCCCAGTGATAAATTTTATGTTATTAAGTATTTTAGCACAATAAAAAAAAGTATGCCCTGTTCAAGAGCAGGAATTATGGTTAGCAGAAATAAAGAAAAGGCTGCTTCAGGGGGAGGGGAGTCAGAGGGATGGGGTGGCTGGGTGATGGACATTGGGGAGGGTATGTACTATGGTGAGCGCTGTGAATTGTGTAAGACTGATGAATAGCAGACCTGTACCCCTGAAACAATACATTATGTGTGAATTTTAAAAAAAAAAATTTTTTTTTTAAAGGTTTGCTTCATTTTTTTCTTGACTCCTCCACCAATACATATTGGGTACCACCATGCCATGGTTAAATTGAACTATTTACCATTTCCTGAACCTGCTCCATTGGATTATTTACCATTTTCCTGCCTCACTCCTGCTATTTTCTTAACCTAGAATGCCCTATATGGCTGCCCCTCGTTTCAGTCTAAAATATTCTACACTTTCTTCAAGAGCAGCAAAAATGGCATTTCCAAGAACCTGCCCAAAAGAGCTAATGCCTCTTTCTGTCCACAGTAGCTTACTCAGACCTCTATTCCCAAATACTACAACATCCTTGTATCATGATTGCTTGTGTGTGTTCTTTTACTGCAGGACATGCTCAAAGCCTTTTGTGTAAAAATCTTGTTTGCTTTTTATGTTTTCTTAAAAATCAGAGATATTTATACCTCAGTGTTGCTTAAAAGGTTAATGAAGATTGGAACTAGATGTCATCTAGAACCCATAGTTTCAGCCCTAAGTCAAACAATCAAAGGCTTTTTCCCTTGGTATCTCAATTGGCTATACAGAGGCTGTGCTGCAAAGCACAGGCAAATCTTCTGTTCTACTCCCAACACCAAATGAGCCAAGCCAGCTCTTCAACCCAGAATTACTCAGGAAACTGAAGTATTCCATCCTCAGGCAGAAGACTGACAGCAGAAAGAGCAACACTTGGATATTATTCAGCAATATATTTAAAAGTAAGTAAGAGAATTTCCAGGCAATGTCTTCTCTGGGTAGCCTGAAATTTTTACCTCATAACCAAACAAAATAGTCATATTGTCCACCTAGAGAGCAGTAGTCCCCAGTGTTTGGAGTTCCTAAGACACTGCCTACACACGTGCTGTTCTTACTTCTTGGCCTGCAGTCCCTCATCCTCATTCCCCCATAGGCTTAGCAAACACCTCAAAAACCCAGGTAAGAAGTCAAATTCTCTAGGAAACCTTTTCTGACCACTCTTTGTGGAGACTAAGATTTGATAGAAACAAAAGGCATAGGGGCGCCTGGGTGGCTCAGTCGTTAAGCGTCTCCCTTCAGCTGAGGTCATGATCCCAGGGTCCTGGGATCGAGCCCCGCATTGGGCTCCCTGCTCAGCAGAAGCCTGCTTCTCCCTCCCCCACTCCTCCTGCTTGTGTTCCCTCTCTCGCTGTGTCTCTCTCTAATAAATCAATAAAATCTTTAAAAAAAAAAAAAAAAGAAACAAAAGGCATTCATTAGTGTTTGTGGTATCAATTAAAATTAGAATGGGGTGCCTGACTGGCTTAGTCGGTAGAGCACGCAATTCTTGATCTTGGGGTTGTGAGTTCAAGCCCCACATTGGGTGTAGAGATTACTTTAAAATCTTTAAAATAAAATAATATTACTCAGAATGTCTAGAATGTCTAGTATCTCACCTGAGATAATACCTCTAATATTTCCATGAGACAGTCCATTTACTTTTTGTGAAATAATTGTTTTGCCTTTTTTTTTTCCTGGATTCAAATCCTATAAGCAAAAGCAGTTAAAAAAAAAGAAAAAAAGAACTGCCTCTTAAAGCCTAAGCAGTTTTGGGTGCCTGGATGGCTCAGATGGTTGGGCGTCTGCCTTCAGCTCGGGTCATGATCCCAGAGTCCTGGGATCGAACCCCGCATCGGGCTCCCTGCTAGGCGGGGGGCCTGCTTCTCCCCCTGCTCATATTCTCTCTCTCTCTCTGTATCTCTGTGTCTCGAATGAATAAATTAAAAAATCTTAAAAAAAAAAAAAAAAAGCCTAAGCAGTTTTGAAACAAATAGCAGATGCAAAAAAGAGATGAAATTTCAACACTGCCTTTGTAATCAAAGTGTGATTTTAGACTAACTAGAGTTAGACTCACCCTGAGCCTGTTTCCTATTCTTTAAAATGTGTGTCCACCTAGTACAGTTCCTAACACAGAGAAGGCCCACAAAACTCGAAAATCATTTTTATAGTCTATCTCTAAAGTATACTTCGGCACCAGATTCATTCCTATGACTAGCTCTGAGTCTGAAACAGTGTTGTTCAACAGCCGCAGGTAACTACTGGTCACTTGAAATCTGGCTAGTACAAAATAACGTGCTTTAAGTGTAAAATACACATAATATTTCAAAGACTTGGTGAAAAAAATATAAAATACCTTATTAACAGTTTGTATATCAATTACATGAAAAGAGATACTTCGGATACATTGGGTTAAATGAAATAAAATTAATTTCCTCCGCTTTTTAACTTTCTTAATGTGGCTTTTAGAAAACTTTAAATTATATGTTTGGCTCTCATATCTCTACTGGACAGGCTGACTTATACTTTGACTTCAAGCTAGTAAATGCGCTCCCTTAACCATACCGTGCGCTACCTGACAGGGGTTCACTGCGGCGCATTCACGCGCTATCCCAGCATGCAATGGCTCACTTTAACACTCCCCACTTCCACAACCCGGGAAAGCTAGATGTAATAGCGGTTTAATTTTAATTTTAACCTGGAGCGCACAGATCCGCCGAAGCAACTCGAAATTGCCGCTCACACAACAACAGAGAAGAAGTTGAGAAAAAACCCAGAGTCCTCTCCGGTTCGTGTCTGCTGCGGGGCTGGGAGCTTGAGCAGAAAGGGGTCACCCTTAAGAAAGTGAGAGGAGGCGACGGAGCGAGCGCCCCGGATCTGAAGGAGTATAATGTAGAGCCCACGGAGTGGAGGTGTAAGGAGGAAAGCCTTCTCAGCTTCTGAGGGGCCCAATCTGAGGGCGGAGGGGAAGGGCTTGGGCTCCGCGGCCGCAGCTGCAGGGAGGACAGGTACCTTAAGAATCCCCCTCATCTTCGCCAGAAAGGGGCGGAACTCCTCGAGTGACACCTCCGGATAGAGCTGGCTCCGCAGCAGCTCCTCCGTGATGCCCTGGTGCCCGTGGAAAGCTTCCTGGGCCAGGCCGCTCAGCAGCCCGCTCAGAGCTTTAGAGCCCTCAAGCTCGCCCGCCATGGTCAGCGGCAGCCCCGCCCCGCAACAGCTGAGCGCGGCCCCCGCTACGGCACCCGGGATGGGCCTAAATGGCTTGCGCAAAGGCGCGCGGGGCAAATGGCGGCCAAGTTCCACCAGAGGCTGGTATTGGCAGCTACCAGTTTGGTCCGCAAAACCCAGCCTCTTAGGTTGCACCCAGGGAGCTATCCATTCAGTTCCAGAAGAATCACTTTACTTAACGCTGATTCCCTTCCTCACTCCAGGCCCTGCTGAAAGGAAAGCTCACTTGGTGAAGATCACTTGAGATGGGGAACTATCCTACGAAGGCGGCGGTTTGACTTCGGAATGGCTGCATCTCATTCCAGGCTTTGCCAATCCCCTAACTGAATAGGATCTATCACTTACATCGATCTACCACTCATATCTAATCTCTGCCTAATCATTACCTGTCCACCTTTTGTCCCATAAAATTTAACTATCCCCTGATAACGTAGTGTGTTTGCTAGGATTGTTCCTTGCCTTTTTACATTAATGTGTCTTGTCTTTCTGGCTAGCTCAGTGTGGCTCTGATCCAATGCTCCTTTCTATAACAAAGATTTTGCTAACACTTTCTTTACAATCCTGAAATGAAATGCATAGGTTATATAACTTTCTGCCCATATGATTTCAAAAAATTAATATATTATTCACCCATAAAAAGGAATGAGGTACTGATACACGCTACAACATGGATGAATCTTAAAAACATGCTAAGTGAAAGAAAACAGACACAAAAGGTGAAGTAGTATATGATCCTATCTACGTGAAATGTCCAGAAAAGACAAATCCATGGAGACAGAAAGATTTAATGGTTGCCAGAGACCAAGAGGAAAAGGGAATGGATTAATGGGTACTAGATTTCTTTCAGGGGTGATGAAAATGTTCTAGAATTAGATAGTGGTATGGTTACACAACTTTGTGAATATACTAAACCCACCGAATTATACACGTTAAAAGATGAATCGCACAGTATGTGAACTATATTTCAATTTAAAAGTCAACATAATGACCTAATTATAATTTAAAATAAAAATAAAAGGAAATTAATTTAAAACATCCGTATTTCAGTGTGTAAGTGTTGGGGCACAACTATACTGGTGACTAGGAGACGTATGGGTTAGCCAAATGCCTGCAGCTTTATGTTGAACCTCCTGTGACAAATACAAACTGACACCGGTATGCTGTCTTGGTGATTCCAGAGAGAAAGAGAGAGAGAGCAGCTCTCTGCTACTGGTAACTTGATCTTCTGAAATGTGAACAAAGGTCGCTAATGTTCAGAACAAAAAACATTCTTTCCTCACTTTACCCAGTAACTGTAAACCAGGAATGTTCTGTGTATACTAAAGCCTGCTAAGAACATAAACACAATGGTATAACTGAGTTCCATTTCAGACAATAATAAACATGTAGGTTTTTCACAAAGGTGAATATCCCCCTTCGTGGCAGGATGTCTAATACACCTGGCCCCTGTCCAGCCTGGGCCATCCCTCCCCTTCCGTTGTCAGGACAACTGACATCCCCTCTCAAGGTAGTGCCACCTTGTTGCAGTGTTGAGAATCACCAATCTAGACTGATTTAATTAATGTTTATCCAGCGTTTGCCTGAAGTCAAGAGGCATTCTTTACAATCCTGAAATGAAATGCATAGGTTATATAACTTTCTACCCATCTTTATAATAGAAAAGATGTATTTCTTTCCCTAGAGGAATTTTCTTTTTTTTAAGATTTTATTTATTTATTTATTTATTTATTTGACAGAGAGAGAGAGCGCACGCACAAGTAGGCAGAGCAGCAGGCAGAGGGAGGAGAAGCAGGCTCCCTGCTGAGCAGAGAGCCCGATGCGGGGCTTAATCCCAGGACCCTAGGATCATGACCTGAGCCGACAGCAGCTGCCTAACCAACTGAGCCACCCAGGCACCCCAGAAATTAATTTTCTAAAAGGCAAATTCAGAGATGCTTTTACAGCTCCAAGAAAAGCAAACCTAGAGATAAATTATATATTGTGTTAAGTATGTCTACAGGAATTGCAGAGAATGGTCAACATAAAAGGGAAAAGGGTTGTGAGTAGAAACAGCAGTATTAAGCACATGACTTGCAAATTACCTACCAGAAAGGCTGTACCATTTATTTCCATGAAACCTTCCTAACACTGACTGATATTATTCTATATAATCTTTGCCACCTGATAGATGAGAAATATTATCTTATTGTTTTCATTTGTACTTCTTAAATTTGAGAATGAATACTTTTTTATATATATTTATTGACTACTTGTATTTCCTCCCATTTTCTTGACAATTCTCTATAGGGTTTCTGTCACTTCAGTGATTTCTTTTTTTTTTTTTTTAAGATTTTATTTATTTTTTTGACAGAGAGAGACACAGTGAGAGAGGGAACACAAGCAGGGGGAGTGGGAGAGAGAGAAGCAGGCTTCCCGCTGAGCAGGGAGCCCGATGTGGGACTCGATCCCAGGACCCTGGGATCATGACCTGAGCTGAAGGCAGACACTTAACCGACTGAGCCACTCAGGCGCCCACTTCAGTGATTTCTAAGAGCTCTTTTACACTGGAAATATTAATGATTTTCACCTATATTGAGACATTTTCCTCAGGTTTAGATGGTTGGCTCTGTCAACCTGCATAGAAGTCTGGAAGGTTGTTCACGGACATGCTAGAGAGTGTATCTCTGAATAATTGAGAATGGTTTTTTGTTTGTTTGTTTTTGTTTTTAGAAAGGGAGAGAGGTCAGAAGGACAGGGAGAGGGAGAATGCCAAGCAGTCTCCACGCCCAGTGCAGATCTCACAACCCTGAGATCATGACCTGAGCTGAAATCAAGAGTCAGATACTTAACCGACTGAGTCACCCAGGCACCCCGGAAATGGTTTTTATTTGCTTCTTTCTGCTTACCTAATTTTTCTAAATGTCTACAATGCACATGCAATACTATTGTAATAAAAAGTTATGTAATGAAAAGATAAGTAGTACGTCCTAAAATCAAAATCCTTTTAATAAAAAGCTTTAAAGAACATACGTGTTCTACATGACTGAGAAAAGCCATATACCTTACATAGTGTTTCTTGAATGTTTTGATAACATAAGATGCTCTCAGAATCCAATAGAAGCCTCAGATACTTTCCCCAAAAAATACACACCAAATGTAGCCTACAATATCTAGGTTAATTTACCCCTCTGAAGTCTTTCTATAAACCTACTTTTTTACTGGCCCTAAGAACTCCCTCTCAACATTCCCAGGTCTAATTAAAACTCACAAGAAACAGATGACTCTTTTGGAAGCAGCGGAAACTACTATACATCACTACCACTCCTTAACTCTTATCACATTGTATGTAATACCTGGACATATCATTGCCTGCTTGAGCCTACAGCGAATTCCAAAACACCAATGTGATCAATAAAAGAAAATCATCCTGTGCCACCAGGAGCTGCTATTGTCAATGCAGCTGTTCAAGGTTGGTTAACAGCTGCATTGCTGGAATGCCTTTCGAACAAAAGTATCAAAGCACAAAGTTTTATTTTATTAAATTTCAAAACACAACGTGTTTACAGATAACCTGGGCACAGTCCCATTAAAAGGATTGTCTAAGGCGAGGCAGCAGCAAAGACCCTGAAGCCTTGGCTCATATGGAAAATACAAGCACCTAAAACAGCCTTCCCAGAAAATAGGTTTCCATTCTAAGTTCCATTAAGCAACTGGTCACTTCTCTTAAACTCCTTTTATGGCTCATGGGCTGTTTGATCCAGGGTCAGAAATAGGTGTTTTTGTAAGATTTTCCATTTCTGAAAATGTTAAAATAAGAAATGTGGACCAAAATAATGTACAAACACAAGGGCCCAAAGTTTTGCAAGAAACTCTCCCTGCTCCCGGTCTCCACTCTACCTTTTCAAATTCTATTTTAATTACCATTCACTCCACTTGGCCAGCCACTCAGCAGCTATTAGTGGAGAGCTTTGTGCCATTCTGCTAGGCTCTATGGGATACAGAAATGAACAAAACAGTCTCTGCCCTAAAATCTTATATTCTGGTAAGGGAAAATGATATGTAAATGAAGGACAGCAGAATATGCTACCTTAAAATATGCCACTTTGGCATAAGGATTATTTTGAGCTAAAGGCAATGAGAAGAAGCAGATATAAGGAAAGCTTCTGGCCCTCCCATTTGCCTGAAAGCAGGACATAAATTTTCAAAGGTATCCTTCCTCTGTCTACCAGGAAAGAAAAAAGTTAATCCCAGGAGACAACTTTAGACTCTTACCAATGAAGAAGGCATGGAATTAAAACTGCATAACAAATCTTACTCTTGTTTACTGGGCTTTGCCTGGTCATCAACCCATAACTGACTGGTCTTCCTGACCTTTTTTTTTTTTGCTTAAGATGGCATATAAACTGGAGTTCTAAGCCATTGCTTTGAGTTACTCATTTTTCCCTGGGCATCTCACATGTATACATGAGGTATACATGTCAATAAACTTCTGTTTTTCTCATTAATCTGTCTTTTATTATAGGGGGTCCTAGCCAAGAACTTATAAGAATAGAGGCAAAATTATTTTTTCCTCCTTTACTTAAACAAATGCTTAAAATACAAGGAACTAAGGGTTACTACTACTAAGTACCTAGAAGTAACTATCAGATTTGGTAGTAGAAGAAAAAAGATTAGGGGCGCCTGGGTGGCTCAGTCGTTAAGCGTCTGCCTTCGGCTCAGGTCGTGATCCCAGGGTCCTGGGATCGAGCCCTGCATCGGGCTCCCCACTCGGCGGGAAGCCTGCTTCTCCCTCTGCCACTCCCCCTGCTTGTGTTCCCTCTCTCACTGTGTCTCTCTCTTCAAATAAATAAATAATAATAAAAAAAAATTAAAAAAAAAAGAAGAAGAAAAAAGATTAACAGCCTGTATAGGTCAGACAGAGTAGCTTATTGGTGAATAGTGTTGAA